TGGGGGGGGGAGGGCAGGGAAGGGGTGTCCTGGCCCCCCCTGCTCCGCAGCCTGCCCTGCCCTCCTGGGGTGCACCCGGGGCCCATCCCCAACCAGGGGTTACCTGCAACGGAGGGACAGAGCCCAGGGCCTCGCCCCAACCCCACACCATCCCCACACCCCATGGGTCCAGGGCACACACACACACACACCCTGCCCCCAAACCCACCACCCCCACGCACCTTTCACAGTCCCCGCGCCCTGCAGGGTCAGCAGTGCCAGCAGCGCCAGCAGAAGGCCCGGTCCTCCAGCCATTGCCTCTCCTGGCACCGGGCAGCAAGAGCGGGACCGGGCAAGGGGCAGGCGCTGCTCTTGGGCCGGGGAGCTGTGTGCTGGGGGCCCCGTGCCCAGGGGACTGGGCCCCCCCAGGCCCTGAGCCAATAGGAGGGAGCCCTGATGCTGACACAGCTGTTCCCAGGCAGAGCAGCAGCACAGAGCACCCTGCGGAGCAGACAGACAGACGGACGCCCCGACACAGCCCCACTACCAGGACACGGCTTGTGGGGCCCCACATCAGGGTTCTCCTCAGGGCCCGGCTCCCCCCAGTCTCCGTGAGCCCTGGGGTCGCTCTCCCATCCCTACGGGCATGGGCCGGATCCTGCTCCCTGCCCCGGGGTGCAAGGCTGCAGCCAGGGGACAAGTGTCAGAGGGAGCCCTGCGGGGCCCGGCTCTGCCTGGTGACGGGTGATGCTGCCCAGCCTCGCCGCTCACTGGTCCTCGCTGGGACTCCCAGCCCCGGCACTGGGCAGGACTGGGGTGATGCCCTGAACTGGCAGAGTCCAGCTCGTTTCGGGAGGGGGTCCCAGCACCTTTCCAGCCTCTGCTGTGAGTGGCAATGGAGACTGGTCGTGTCCTGGGAGCTGGGGCCGTGCTGGTGGCACTGGTGGTGCTGGGAGCCCACCCGGCTAAAGGAGAGGAGACCTCCTCTGGCTCTTCCTGGTCCCCAGGCAGACGGACAAGTTGAGTCAGGGTCACACCGCCAGTCCTAGCACAGCTCTGGGGCTGGGAGGATTGGGGAGTGGTGATGGGGAGGGGGCTCCATGGGCCCTCCCTGCCCTCCCCTGCCCTGCCTGGGGTGCTGAGAGCACCTGGGGGGGGAGCCGGCCACCCTGACCGGCCTCCCTGCACAAACAGGGGTTTTCCAGGAATTCTCTGTTGGTGAGTGTCAGTACCTCAACGGCACCGAGCGGGTCAGGCTTGTGCACAGGTACATCTACAACAGGGAGCAGCTCACACACTTCGACAGCGACGTGGGGCTCTATGTGGCCGACAGCCCCCTGGGCGAGCCCGATGCCAAGTACTGGAACAGCCAGCCGGACATACTGGAGGGTAGACGGGCTGAGGTGGACAGGGTCTGCCGACACAACTACGGGGTGTTCACCCCTTTCACCGTGGATAGGAGAGGTGAGCGCGTGGCAGAACATTTCCCTGGGGGACGGGCACAGGCCAAGCCCCCGGGCTCGCAGGAGGGGAGAGCGTGGCCGTGGCCGTGTCGGGCTCGGGCAGGGCCCCGGGCGAGCAAAGCCCCTGCGCCCTTCCATGAGGCCACGAGTCCCTCGCACCCTCCCTGGGCACGCCCGGCGTGGGGACCACAGGGACAGCCCTGGGCCAGGCTGGGCGGTCCCGGTGCTCTCCCAGCTCCTCCCCAGCGCGCGCTCACTCTCCCCCAGTTCAGCCCGAGGTGGAAATCTACCCGGTGCAGTCGGGCTCCCTGCCCCAGACCAACAGGCTGGTTTGCTACGTGACGGGGTTTTACCCGGCGGAGATTGAGGTGAAGTGGTTCAAGAACGGGCAGGAGGAGACGGAGCGCGTGGTGTCCACGGACGTGATCCAGAACGGGGACTGGACCTACCAGGTGCTGGTGATGCTGGAAACCACCCCGCAGCGCGGGGACACCTACATGTGCCAGGTGGAGCACGCCAGCCTGCAGCAGCCCGTCACGCGCCTCTGGGGTAAGGGCCTGCCCTGGGCGGCACCCGGGGACGGGGGCCCGAGCCCCTGCTGCAGGTGGGGAGGGGGGCGGGGGCCC